TTTGCTTCGCCGTACTCGGATAAAAAAGTTCAATGAAAAGTTTAAATCAAACCCCGTATAAGCCCCCGCGCTAATACGGGATTTCAGATCAACACCTCCTATTTGTAATGAAAACATAACCCTACTTATAGGAACTAATGCTGAAAATAATAAAACATACCTTCAGATTCGCTAGAATCAGACCTCTCAGAAGGCTGATAATCTGATTCATTTGGTAAAAATGGTTCAGATTCTGATTCACTGACATCCATTTTAACAAAACAAGCAATTTTTTTCGGTTATTTTGTACAACCTATTGTAGCACCTCTGTAAATGTTTAGAGGTTAACTTAATATATACATTTTCGACATACATCTAACTCGAAACATTTTTCTATACACACTCATTGCCAACGAAAATGCTGAAAAATTTAAATTTTATACTTCTCCAATTTTTCTTTTACGGTCCATTTAAGAAAAATCATGTAAAAAACAAAAATTATAGAGATCGATATCGCAAACATCTTTTAGTTCAACATTTTTCTTAAAAATTAGAATTTTTTACGCTTTGAAAAATTTTTCGGAAAATTTTGTATGGAACAAAAATTATAGACAATAATAGAAGTAACCTTTATTTAAAGAATTGTCTTCTCCAAACAAAAATAATAGATATATTTTATAAAATATAAAAATGACCCCCTATAAAGTACCCCCAGATGTCCAAAATCTAATCAGTTTACCTCAGGTCGGAATAAAGCATAAGTTTAAAATTTAATGTGCTTTTCTTTATCCGTTTTTGAATTTTCTTTAAAATTCGAAATTTACACATTTTCTCAAATATCTCGAATACAGTCCATTCTAGATAAATTATGTTTAAAACAAAAATTATAGAGAATTATATCACAAACAACTTTTATTTAAAGAATTTTTATAAAAATTTGATTTATAGAATACGGACCTTTTTGTAAAAATTTTGTATAAAACAGAAATTATAGGGAATAATATAAAAAGTAACTTTTACTTAAAGAATTTTCTTCTACAAACGTAAATAAATATATTTTAAAAAATATAAAAATGACCTCCTATAAAGTACCCTCCCAGATTTTTCGAATCTTTAAAGAATTTTTAAACGTTATATCCACAGTAAATAATTGATACCAACAAATTTTTTTTCTAACATTATTTAATATTTTTGTGTTTATTTTTCACTGCTATTAACACCCCACCACTCTTTGACTCACCAGTAAAACTTAAATTTTGATCCGCTCTCATGACAGTGTAATACATCTGAGTCAAATAGTCATTAACACAGATATCCTTCCTTAACCAAGTTTCCACTGCTATAACAATATCAAAGTTACTAGATATTACAGTAAAAATCTGCCGTTTTACTTCTTAATCCTCTGCAATTTTGAAAATAAATTGAAAAATTGATCATTTATTAGACAATACAACTATTTATAAAAATATTATACCTATATTAAATAGAACATGGCCCTTAATTATTTATATTTTAATTTTCTCGGAACTTCCAGATCTTTATTGACATGAAATGATATTTATAGACATTTCTAGACATTTCTAGACATTTCTAGACATTTCTAGACATTTATAGACATTTCTAGACATTTCTAGACATTTCTAGACATTTATAGATATTTATAGACATTTATAGACATTT